CCAAGGGTGGTTAACACTCTCCTTTAATTTCTCCCACCTGGCACCCTAGCCGACCCAGCCTTCTGAACTTTCTCTTTTCTCATTTGTCCCTCTGAACAGCTCCGCCGTCCTCTGCTGCACACCCCCGGGAAGTTTACTGGCCTCCACCCCTCCCCAGGACCCGTGCAGCCCAGCCAGAGATCTGGGCTGGACTGCAGCTGCCCAACGTGGTCTGGGTGCTCACCCCTGTCAGCCGAGGGGAGTGGCCCCTCCGGGTGCCTCGGTTTCCCCACCTGTGAAATGCACCTGGAAGTAGACCCTGCCTCTGTGGAGGCTGTGAGACCAGTGAGTTCACACTGTTGAGGGCTGGTGGGGGCGGGGAGGCCGTGGCACGTGGGAGAGGGAGAGAGGGACCTTGCCTCAGATCACAGCTGGTGGGAGGGCATCCAGGGGGACAGGATACCAGGCTGTGCTGCTGTGGGACGTGGCAGGAAGACATGATTATGCTAGATCTCCAGAGTCCACAGTGTGCCACTGGCCCCAACCAGTTACCTGGACGCTGCCCCTTGCTGCAGCGTCCCAGGAAGGGCAGGGGCAGCTGCAGTAGCTGCAGGCGCAGGACCCTGAGACACCGGGTCCAGTCTTCAGAGGTACCTGGGCCTGCTTGGGGCATGCAGGACGCTCGAGGGAAGGTCACAGAAGACTCAGCGTCACTGCCTCGTGATCTGCCAGTGGCTGCAGCCTGGCCTTCAGTGGGCACTCCCTGAACTGTCCCCCAGCACAGCACCTGCTCCCTGCTGCCACCCTGGGGGGATGACCCAGAGCCAGCCACAGGCTCTGAGGGCGGGACCAGGGAGTCTCGGCCTGGGTGCACTCCCTGTCTGAGGATCGAGGTTGAAGAACCCAGGAATCTGCAGATGGCCTGACACTCACTGGGCCCCTGCCCTGAAGCAGCAGCCTCCACCAGGTGGCCCCAGCTAAGTGATCCTCCTTTGGTGCCTCCACCTCCAGGCAGGCAGTCAGTGCACCTGCTGGGCAGAGGCCACCAGAGGGTAGCAGCTGCATCCACCTTCTGCAGCCCTGGTCTTGAGGAAGTCACTCAGATTCCAGAGATGACTGGAATG